GCCCGGGTCCCCCAGGGCAGGAGTCCCCCAAGGCAGGGCCCCCAGGGCCGGGTCCCCAGGGCGGGCGTCCCCGGTTACCTACAGGGTCCCCTCCTCCCACGGCAGGTGACCCCCTTTCAGGGATCAGGCCCCCAGGCACAGTGCACGTTCCCACTTGTTGTTCTCTGCTGGCTGGGAAACTCTTAGTGTTCAACCACGCGGTGTATTTAGTGACGATTCGGTCGAGTTTAGAAAGCACCCCTGGCTCCAGAGAGGAGCCGTGTCCCTTGTGTGCCCTCGGGTGGTGTCTGGCTGCAGAGCGCCAGGGGCCTGCCCTGAGCCTGCAGGTGATGGCCCGACTCACTTAAGTGCTATCGCAAACATTTCTCATTTGATATCCGCAACAACCTTGGGGGGTGAGCAAGGCTAGTGTAGTAACCGCCCCCCCCTTTTTTTTTTACAAAAGAGGAAACTGAGGCAGGAGCTTTCTCCTGCAAGGTTCAGTCAGGAAAGTAGGCAACAGAACTCAAGTGTCTCCTCTCTCAGTCCCAAGCATATCTGCATCTTCCCGTTTCTTTATCATCTGCTTGATCTCGGCTCTTATATGTTATGGAACTTGGAGCGGTTTTCTGCAGCAGCATTTTTATGATAGGTAATGAATTATTTTTAGTGTGTGTAGTATTTATGATTTTCCAAAAGTACAACTTAGAAGATCTTGATTCAAGGGTTCAGTTTACAACGGCAATATAGTGTTGCAATAGAATATAGGTCCTTCCCCACGAAAAAGAATAAGTAAATAAGAAACTAAATAGTATGGCATGATTTCAGTGGACATTCTTTTTAGAAACCTGAAACTTTAAGGTCTGGCTTTTTAACTGTCAGCACTTTAAACATGACATAAACACCCAAAGGTCCTGTCTAGACTTTTAAAACTGCCAGCTTGGGCACACCCGTCTGCCAAATAAACACGATTTTAACTAATTCTCTATTTCACTTCTCTTCCTTCCTTCCTCCTTTTTATTGCTGTCCTTTTTGTTATTATGGCAGTTAATGTCTTGACTAATTTATTACAATCACGCTGTAAAAATAGCATCTTCCCTGCTCTTTGCTCCAGTTCCAGGCCACAGAGTGAGGTTCTCTAAGATCCTTTACGCCTAAGCTGACTCTAGCACTAAGCCTTTGGTAGCCATGGATCGCAGGCTCTAGAAGTCAAATCAAATCAAATCAACAGGACTCGTCTGCTTGTTTTCGACAAGGCTGGCCCTTTTGTTCCTTTTGATGACTGGGTGGCCTCTCTGCTGTCCTTGGTTTACAAGAGGATAATGCAGAGATGGCATTGGGGACGCAAACCGACAGCCCTGCGGTGGCCACCGTGAGAACCTGCCCTTCACCACCAGGTTCTGGTGTTTCTGAAACAG